TCAGGTACCTGTGCAGTAATCCATATAGCCCTTGGTGAGCAGGGCTGATTTTTAGTTTAATTCTCAGGTCCTAACTCCATTTGGAAATATTCAGGATGCCCGTGCCATCAGGACTGCTGACAGTTTGCAGCTCCTTTTGTCTCCTTACTGTTTTCATTCAGGTTCTTCTACTGGTTGGTGTTTAATCCACTTCTGTATCCTTTCTTTCAAAGTTCAGGGTTCCAGGGCTTATCGTCTGTATCTGTTAATTGGTTTATCTTTTCTTTGTTGAAGAGTGTCTGTGTAGCTTGTCTGCCTATCCTGCTATCTTACTGGAAGTCTCCTGACAACTTCAATCTTTTCCCCATTTATTGTGATGCTGCTAATTGGCCCAGATGTGAGGATTTTCATTTTCTTTATATTGAAGAGTAATCCATACTGCAGACAGATCATCATCAGTAAGTGCTTCAAGTCATCTTCACTTTCAGCAAGCAAAGTTGTGTCATCTGCATATCCCAGATTGTTAATCAGTCTTCCTCCAATCCTGATATGGTGTTCTTCGTCATATAGTCCAGCTTCCTGGATTATTTGCTCAGCATACAGATTGAATAAGTATGGTGAAAGATACAGCCCTGACATAATCACTTCCTGATTTTAAACCGTGCAGTATCTCCTTTTTCTGTTTGAAGGACAGTCTCCTGGTCTATGTACAGATTCCTCATGAGCACAATTAAGTGTTCTGGAATTCCCATTCTTCTCAACGTTAACCATAATTTGTTATGATCCACATGGATGAATACTTTTGCACAGTCAATAAAACACAGGAAAATAGCTTTATGGTATTCTTTGCCTTTAGCCAAGATACTTCTGACATCAGCAATGATATCTGTCATTCCCCATCCTCTTCTGAAACCAACTTGTGTTTCTGGAAGTTCTCTGTCAATATACTACTGCAACCATTTTTGAATTATCTTCAGCAAAATTTTACTTGTGTGTGATAGTGATGATATTGTTTGATAATTTCCACATTCTGTGGGATCACCTTTCTTTGGAATGGGTACAAATATGGCTCTCTTCCAGTCAATTGGCCAGATAGTGGTCTTCCAAATTTCTTGGCACAGACGAGTGAGTGCCTCCAGTGAGGCATCCATTTGTTGAAATATCTGAATGGATAGTCTGTCAATTCCTGGAGTCTTGTTTTTTGCCAGTTCCTTCAGTGCAGCTTTGATTTCTTCCCTCATTGCTTCTTGATCATATGCTATCTCCTGAAATGAATGAACATCGAACAACTCTTCTTTGTACAGTGACTCTGTATTCCTCCCATCTTTTGGTGTTTCTGCATCATTCAATATTTTGTCCACAGAATTTTTCAATATTGCAACTCAAGGCTTAATTTTTTTTCTTCAGTTCTTTCAGCTTGAGAAATGCTGAGCATGTTCTTCCTTTTTGGCTTTCTAACTCCAGGTCTTTTGCATTTCATTTTAATTGACTTTGTCTTCTTGAGCTGCTCTTTGAAATCTTCTGTTCAGCTCTTTGATCTTGTCATTTCTTCCATTTGCTTTAGTTACTTTCCATTCAAGAGCATGTTTCAGAGTCTCTTCTGACATCCATTGTGATCTTTTCTTCCTTTCTTATCTTTTTAATGACCTTTTGCTTTCTTCATGGATGATGTTCTTGATACCATCCCACAGTTCCTCTGGTTTTCAGTCATTGGTGTTCAATGCATCAAATCTATTCTTTAGATGGTTTCTAAATTCAGGAGGGATATAATCAAGGTCATATTTTGGCTCTCATGGACTTGTTTTAATTGTCTTCAGCTTCAACTTGAACTTGCATATGAGCAGTTGATGGTCTCTTCCACAGT